GGTAAAGGATTATCTTTTAAAGTTTTTTTCCGGACACCAACAGTCTCTTTAGAAGCAAAAGACAAAATCAATTAAAATGATCGCCGCAAAAAGAGGACCCCATGCAAATCGCCCCAAAATATGGCCCGTATAAATGAACCTTTATAACTGAATTTAAAGAGAGAATAAAAAGGGACAATCAAGTATGGAATCGATCCTTAAACGGTACAACCTTACGCGATAATCAGTTGGGTTTTATTTTAACTGACAAATATAAGAAGCTGAACCAACTAAAAAGAAAGGTATTTTTGACTTAAAGTGGAATTCAGACCAAAGGATGTCACAAAATAATGATGACTTACCTCGACACAGTGTTCAACGGTTGATGAAACTTACATCGAATACCACAAGCTCAAGCTTCAATAATCCACACTGCGGCTTATTACATGCACCTGTCAATACAAAATCGATAATTAGTCAAGAACTTGTTTTTGTACCTCTATTAAACTTAATTGCCCACAACTTAATCGCTAATTCGTGTTTAAGCCAATAAGCATACCAGGTGATCTAGCGCACGCACTTCCGCGGTTACTATTAACCAATCAGAAGCATTTTTGTTGTATCACCAAGAGTTCCATGATGGCTTTGCACAAATTTCGAGTTATTTTTTTTTTAAATACGTCCTGAAATATACTTATTTCAATAAAGTTAGTCACCAAAATCTAAAAAGCTGTGATCGCTGAGAATCATTGGGAAATGTTTTATATCCAACAAGTAAAGCTTTCGACACAAACTGCAGCAGTTGAGGATGCTAAGAGGTTAACTTGTAACTGGTAGAAGATCTCAAGTCCATCAACAGTTATCAAGCGCGGGTTGAAACATGTAAAATGTATCTACCCATAATCCTTGTCGGTCTCAGCTGTGTAGCTTTACAGGCGACTAACTTTATTGAAATAAGTGTATATAACTTTACATTGGAACATTCTATGTTACATGTATCAGAAAAGCTTCTTCTTGCGCTATCAGCAATAAACATTAATGAGAACAAATTATAAATGCAATAAAAGTAAGTGAAATCCGAAGGCGTTGTCTAAATTGGTCAAAAAGTATATCTATGCTCAAGTTACTCGAAATTTAATTTAAAAGCTCATTATTAATTCATGAAGGATACACAAATAGAAATTATGACCACGAAGGTTTTACACCTTTTGCCGTTCATTAACAGAAAATGTACATTCATTTRTGCCAATAGTTGTATCAATAACGTGTAATGTACTTTCATCAACACCACAAGTAACATCATTAGC